GAGGAAAAAAAAAAAAAAAAAAAAAAAGCCTCGTGTGGCTCCTCTATAGAGAAGGAGGTAGAAGCAAATAAATACATTCTGGGGGAAACAGAATAGGTTTTCTCCTCATACACCCCAAAATTCAGCATCTGACAAATGACCTTCTTTTCCACCTCCAACGCTACATGGCAAGCGGTCTTACCAGTTCATAAATGAATGGGCGAATTCTCTGTCAGACTCCAAGCCTCTTCCAACTGTGCAGCGTGTTTAGAGAAGAGCTGACTGCAAGGCTTGGCCCACAGGCCAAGGTGATTGGTTGAAGGCGGGCACCTGACCCCAGAGACACTGGGCCATCATCTGGTTAGTGACCTATGAAATGGCTTGTTACAAAAACTTTATAAAACAAAAGCAGGAGCCAGCAGGTGGCGTGTTGGATAGAGGTGCTGGATTCCCACATAGTCGACTGCAGTCGAGTCCTGGACCTTGGGCTTGCTTTCTCGCTTTCCCTTTCTCTCTCTCTTTCTGTCTCTCGCTGATCAAATTGAAAATGATAATAATAAATAAATAAATTAAATAAATAATTATTTTTAAAAACAAAACAAAACAAAAAAGATACACACTTCTCTCTTTCTCAAGCACAAAGAATTGTTACTTAGGCTTTACCGTCTGGACCCAGAAACACAACTATGATGATCGAATGGATCCCAAAACCTCAGAGAGAAGAAAGTGCTCTTAGCTCAGTGAAGCAGAAGGCCGTGACTTTTCAGTTGATGTTTCTAAGCCTTTCATTTTTTATTTTTATTTTATGGCCCTTCTATCCTTTATTATTACTTTAATCTCTTGAAGGCTAGGAGATCAGATAATAAATGTGAAAATTATGTCGAAAATTAGACTAACTAGATTCTGAGTACGGGCCTAGAAGTTTCCTACAAATAAAGCATATGAGTTTTTTATAAAAGAGCTTTCTGAAGTGCCTCCACACTGATCAGAGGCATCTCGCTGTTTATTTCTAGGTTCTGTGCTCGAGAATGCTGAGTTAATCTTAAGAAACAAACAACCTCTGAATAATAAAAGCACATTGAATTCTGATAACCTCTGCCAGGCAACTGATAGAAAATAGAAACCATGCTATTTTTCAAACAACGGTCCCACATCAGTCACCACCGATGACTTCCTCGGGTCTAATATCATACCCCCAACCACCAGCATTAATCCAAACTACTCTCCTCATAGCAGCTCCAAAACGCACTCAGGGAAGTACACAGCTGAACCGAAGTTTACACATACTAGAGGAATTTTACTAAAGGGTTTCTTCTCTTCAGGAGTATGAAGTAAAAAAAAAAAAACGGACACAAAAGCAACTTGAGAGATTCCTGATCATAACTATCCTAACTTTGATGGCCTTCAGGCCAGCAAGTGGTGTGGGGATAAAGGCAGGTGGGTCCCACCTCGCCAGCTGTGCAGTTTGAGTCCTGGGCCAGGCAGCTTGAAAAACACACCAGGTATACATATGTGCGTGGCGAAATCCTGAGAGGAGGATGAAGAAGGGGTTGTGCTGTGGCCATCCCCCTGGCGGTGCCTTCTCTCCTTTTCTCTCTGGAGAGCACATGTGCCCTAGAGCAAATTCAAAAAAATAAAAAAGAGGGGCTTCCTTCTTCACACATGACATAACTGTATTAACAATACTATTGTGTTTATCAATACCTCAAATGAAAAGCCACAGAGCCAACATTCAAATTTAAGTTTGGCTTGGCACCATCAAAACATTACATTTTTCACCTATTTCTCAAAAATTCACAGTAAGAAAGGACATTCAGGACCAGCAGATGGCGTAATGGTTACATCATTGGGCTCCCACGTAGTCAAACGCAGCTTAAGTCCTGGACCCAGCGACTTAAAACTCAAGCCGGACACGTGTTTGTGCATACCTAAAATCCCAAAAGGAGAATGGAG